ACGCCAGTTCGTCAAAGATAACACCGGCTTAGACCAAAATATTCTCTTTTAGTGAAAGAGGAATTGGATAAACTTCTGGACGTGGATTTTATTTATCCTGTTCCGCATAGTACATGGGTGTCGCCAATCGTGATGGTACCAAAGAAGAATGAAAAAATCAGGATATGTCAAGATTTTCAAAAGTTAAATGTGGCCACCAAGAAAGATTACTTCTCATTACCTTTCATAGACAATATGGGTAACATGTTGTCATTATCACCAAGTAATAAAAGAATAGGAGTAGGGCACCAGTTAAAGTCATTCTGTGGTGTTGTTTTGGGTTGGCTAGAGTGCCATTTTCTTATATTTCTTGTATTTTTGAGAGTAGTAGTTCCAAATAAAAGTTAACAGTGAGGAGCCAGTCACAAGAAAGAAAACGCATGGTGGAGATCCACAGGCAAGAACTATTCTGAGCTCGAAGTAATTCAATTTTGGAACTGGAAAAGCGAAGGGTCAGTTGGTAATGGAATGAGAAAAGGCTGAGTTATTGGCGCAAGAGAAATTGGTATTGAGTGATCAATACAGATATGAAACGGAGTAGTTAAGGGTTAAAATTGAGGCCTTGAACGCCGAGGTGACAAGATTGGCAGAGGATTTAGTCAATACTAGTCAAGCATAAGTATCAACGTTACGAGTTTCCGAAGTTCCAGAAGAGAGGAGTCACTTTCAGCGCCAGTTGGAATTGAGAGATGCCTAGATCCTGAAATGGGAAGCTCAAGTCCATGAACTAGGCGAGTACAATGAAGACCTTTCAGCTTAGTTGAGGCAGAAGCCGATAGAAGGATTGGAGAAAGATGAAGATTTGCAGTTGGAACCGGAATCGGTGGAACCAATAATAGATACTGTGATAATTGATTAATTAGATAGGCCAGAGGAACTAGTAATTTTTGTAGAGTTTTGTTAGATAATTTTTAGATAGATATCAATTGAGTATTTGTAAGAACATTGTACAGATAGGAGTGGAGCTATGTAGAATAGATATTAATTCATTTTTGAAAGATATTAATAAAATATATTAATAATCTATATAATAGGAAATTTAGGAGGACGGATGAGTGATTTAGTTATTAAAAGCGGTTAATTACAAAATTACGATTAGAATCTGGAGAATCAAAGGAAAATATATAAAAATTGTAGAAGTTAATTAGGATACCAGACTATGAGAGTCGTGAGCCGAGGGCCATCACTGTGATAGTGTGAGCCGGGATAAGCTTGGTGCTACTTCTTTTTTTTTGTTTCTTATTTTCTTTGAATAAGAAGATTGAGAGTTTCTGAATATTGTGAAGTGAATTATGGAATGGAAATGTGATTGGTATTATTTGAGAAGAAGAAAGATTGAATGCTGAAATCTGATTGTAGTTCAGCAGAGAGAATGAGTTTGTGTTTGTGTGAAACACTGTAATGTGAATGGCAGTTTTGTGTGAAGAATTCCAGTGATTGGAATGAGGGTAATTGTGTGTTGAAAGCTGTGAGGGCACAATATTACAGTTGGAGATTATAAAGGTGAATATATTGGTGAAAATAGCAGTTATTGATATGATTGAATTGCTGTAAGGAAGAGATCGATAAGGTGAAGGAGGAGATTATAATTTCCTTGTGTGTTCAGATATTGAAAATAGAGACAATACATTCAGGAGGTAATTGATTGTGTGACCCTAATGTGAACGCTTAAGCAACTAGTCATTCCCTATGTTCGAATCTCCCTATATGGGTTTATTCTAGGATGTTTCTTCCAGAATAAGTAAAACGAGCAATCACATCCAGCTTTGATAAATATGTTTCAAAAAACTTGGGAGTTGCTATCTTTATTTGACTTTTTTGTCTTCAACTAAATCTTTGTTCTTGATGCCTTTCAAATAAACGATTGTTGCATGCAATGGCTTGAGTAATAAATTGTTCCAAAGATTCTACTTTTTGCATTGTTAATAACAAAGCTTTGACGCTATCCTTCAATCTATATCAAAATTGGTTGATAAGTGCTTTGTCGTTTCTGTCCATGTCACAAGTAAGATTTTGGAATTTAGCAACATATGTAGTGGCTGATCGTGATCCTTATCGTAAGGATAGAAGCTTGGTCTCTACTACTCGTTCTCGATCACTTTCTCCAAATGTGGCCGTAAACACTTCTAGAGATGAATTCAAATCGTAAAAGAATCGTGAATCTTTTTCCATTAAAGGTGCAAACCAAGAGAGAGCATTTCTTGATAATAGTGTGCCTATAAATCCGACTTGGATAAATCCATCAGGATATTGGAAACGATGCAACCTTAGATAGAGCTTGACTTATTACAAAAATCCTCGAAATTTTGATCTTGTTCCATCAAACTTCTCAAGCATACTAATCCTTGTCCCTATCATACTTGTAGAAGCAAAACTCTCTAGATTTAGTTGTGACGTTGATCTACTTGCTTCTTTCAACTATACAACTTCTTTTCGCAGACTTTGAACTTCTTCCATAAGCATAGGCATAGTACTTCCATGATTTACATTGAAAATACGTGAGATTTTGACTCTTAGAATGTTGACAAGCTCATGAAGATTTGCTATAGTTGCAAATCTATTCTCACTTCCATTGAGAGTAGCATCCATAATCTTTCCTTCCCTAAACAATTCAAATGAATTCAAAAGTTAAATTAGAGGAGGGTAATCCGCAACCTCTAAAAACAAATCCCACAAAGAGGGGTAATCCACTCTCTTTAAGGAAAAGATCAGTGTTAGAAAACAAGACTTTTTGTTTAAAGGTGGGTAGTCCGCAACCTTCAAAACACAATAATAGAAGTGGAGTAATCCACTCACTTCTAGAACAAGATAGAAACAATATGTTAGCACTCTTGTCAAACTGTCAAGGACATGAATCTTGAAGAAAGAGAATCTTCAATACACTCTTCTATCACTAAAGAGAACTAGAAAGTCACTCAAAAGATGATGTAATATTAACTAGAATGGCTATTGCCAAAAACAAGAAGACTAGAAAGTCTTGAAACAAGACTAAGACTAGAAAGGTGTTGATAAAAGTGAAGAAGGCTTCACTCTTGCCTCCATGTATACTATCTAATTAAGAGCCACGTGGCGATATCCTATAGGACCTCCAACATGTGTTGACTTTGCTAGCTATATGTCTTATCTTCTAAGGCAAGTTATCTATGTATGCGCCACATAGTTGGCTTGTTCCACAAGCTATTACACGGAGGTAACTTGTTCCACAAGCTACCAATACATGGTTAGCTTTTTGGCCAAGTTTCTAACCTACAAACTCATCTAAAGTCAAAACCACATCTATGAAGCTTCTCTAGAAGACTTTATGAAATTATTTTATTTTACCTACTTCTACTTAATCATATAAGTAACTATTGATATAAATATATATGTCCGTGATACTAAGTCAAACTATCTTTTACATTATAAAGATGGAATCCAAGAGTGCAAGTGTGAATAGAAGAAATTCTAGAGCTTTACTAAATGGCTAAATTACCATTACTAAATAAGCTCTTATAAAATTAGCTTTTTCTTTCCAAAATTACTCATAAGACTTGACTTAAGAAGAATGTCAAATTAAGGGAGTTTCTTTATTTAAGTCTTCAAACCCTAATTGATACTAACAAATTCAACTAACAAAAAAAACTAAGTGGATAAAAATCCACTAAATTAAATTAAATTACATACATCCAATGGAATTTGGTACCCAATGCCATATCATGTGACAAAATACACACATATGGTGAAATAAAAGTGATAATTTATTTATTTTTAAATAATAAAGATAGAAATATGGAATATGATTCAAAGTAGTCTCTGTAAAGTAAATTAAAATTGGTAAAATCATTGAAGTGATTTCTATGTTGAATGCAAAATTCTAAGCACAAAAAGAGCTCTCTGTAATAGAAGCCACAAGGTGAAGTCAAGAGTTGAATACCACTATATATTTTGGTACTCAAATGTCAAAAAGTATATGATTTGGTAGTATTGTCAAAAGATTATAAATTTCCAAGGATAACATTAACTTGAGACAAGATAGGCAATTAATCCTCTTAAAAATATAAGATTTTTAAAGATTCATACTTCTTTTGATGTTTATTACAATGAAAGAAACAAAATAATTGTTTAAATAACAAATGATATGTAAGCTATATGATCTTTAGATGGAATGATTATTTTACCAAAAAAATTGAAATCACTAATAATGTACTATTTGACTTATTATTCTATGCCAAATTTAAAATAGAAATTATACTATTGACAAGTATAGTGTTCATACCTCAACATTTGATCCAAGGAATTTAAGTACCAAATTACAATTGTTTCTAAGTCTTGATACAAAGTTTTTGCCAATGGTAGAATGTATACAGAGGCTACAGTAAAGTAAAGGTACAAACAACATTGCCTTCAAATGATTTGATTGCTACATCAATTTCAATACTCCAATTTTTGGAGTATAAAAAGGAAAAAGAATAAAAGAAAGAGTTTTACATTAGCACAACCAATATGTATATAAATATTTATACAAAGAATTGATTTTAGTTTCTTCCAAGATCATATTTTGTATAGCCACAAATCGGTTAAACAATAATACAATAATACTCAATAATTTTGAGTATTATTTTTTTGTTTTGAGCCTTCTTGCAATAATTCCACAAAACAAAAAATAAAACAAAGTTACCATGTAATAAGCATTGCCTATACAAACAAATTCTTTGAATAATGTAAATAATAATTTAAGACGTATTAAAATAATTCACTTAGTCTAAAGTTTTTTGTAAAGTTTAAATGTAAAATAGGTGAGAAGCTTAAATTTGTGCAATATATATAAAATTGTTAGTGTGATAGATATATGTACATATACATGCACAAAGTATAATATTGTACTGAAAAAGAACAAACAGATTTACTGCTTTTGAATTTACTTTCATTTTGAAAACTTTAACTCAATGTCGGAATGTGTGCGTGGAATAAAAACCCATCCATGACAAATAAAGCATAACTTATTTATTACTCCCCCAAAAAATTGACCTAAAGTCTAGATCCATGGGGTTAAAAGTACATAGATTCTTGAGACACAAAATACTCAATATAGGAGAATTTTAACCGAAGTAGGTTCTCTGTATTAATCTACTATCGGCCATCAACCACTTCAAGGTCACTTTCCAATCAAATATTTATTAAAATTCAATTGTTTATTTCAAGAGCAGATAAAACCGATGAAGTAAAAGTCGGATGGATTTAATTTCCAAAAGCGCGAGGCCAACTTCTCTCCCCAATTGAGTACCAATTTGGGAATCTTCTGAGGTTCTTCCCAAAAGTAGCAGTGACTTGGCTACCCGACATAAACAGAACTGAAGAGTACTTGGCAAGGAATCAGAATTGGCATGAAACCTGCAAAACACTAATGCGCACAGAGCAACATGTCGTCAAAGCATGTCTCCAGTAATTCATCATTACTCTCCAGCCAATACACTGCAGAATGAACTAGGTACTTTTAACGACATGACTCCCTACAACAAACAAAGAACATGCTCTGTTACAAAAACTTGGATAAAGGAGATTGTGTTTGAAAAATAAACATTACCAAAATAACGGTTCAGTTTTACAGAGCTAGGCAAGAACAATATTAACCGGCACAGAAAGTAAAGAGTTCAGGGCGTTTGAATGAGCAACACCAATATGCAAAGCGAATGAAGAAATAGATTACCAAGAATCGCCATGATAGGACTTCTGAATGCATCGGACAAGTTTCGGAGGACGTCCAAGACACCAGTAAGATGATAGCCAGCTGGGAAGAAGTGACCTTGAATTCATGTGGCTAAAGTGACCTTGTTCCGTTTTTATACTTGGCGCAAGGTCATAAGGTGGACCTTAGGCGGACGAAAAGTGGAGGATGTGATATTCAGCTACTTGAGTGGAGTTTCCTCATGTTGTACAACCGATACAACGTTATTCCTCCAACAATTAATGTAGTCCCCACTGTCGACAACAAGTGCCCCGTGTCAGGAATTCCAATTTTAATATGTTTCTACACCATGCAGCGCCGAACCCTGCAGTTGATCACATATGGCAAAATAGCAATGGAAACTGCCCACCCACCAACTAATTGCTAACTCTTGTGACTGGCAGAAGAAGACACCTGGATGCACATAACAGGCACCCCCGAAGAAAATATATCAGAAAGAGATTATTTGCGGAGTAATTGCAGCCCCCGAGTTTAGAAGTGGGAAGAGAAACATACCAAGAACAAAACCAACAGATTGTTGAATTAGTTGCCGATGCTGTTTAGTACTCTTCCCTAATTCTGTTTCTGGAATGCTCAAATGGGGATGCTGTGCGGCCTCAACAATCCTTAGAAACAAGTTATTGTTGTCTCCTAGCTTCATACTTACAGGGGTTGGTGTTTCCAGTCCCATCGTAGAGCATATCTACATGTAGGTAAGCTTAAGGTTAAAACAAGATAGGTATTTTACGCTTCTAAGTTAGTAGACTAGGCAGATCATAGATACCGAGTGTATGCAAACTTGTCGAAAAGAAGAAAAAAAATCATCAACGTAATAACATAGATATTTGAGTTACCCATGTTACCTTAGGCAAAACAAGTCCATAATATCTTTAATTTCCTAATTAACTAATCATGCAACCAAGAATCAATAACACTCAAACCACCATGCAAAAAAAGAGTTACTATGACTGGTTCTTGTCAAACTACTATATCACTTCACAGTTTCAAAAATTCAAAACGAAATACATACCCGAGCCGAACGTGTTATGCAAGAAGGATTGGATTCTTCATCGTTCTTGGCAGCCAAAAGTAGGCAAGGAACTTCGTAACCAGAGCATTCTGAACTAACTGCTACCTGCTCCAGTAACTCAGCAGCTCGCTTCAATGATTCCTCACTAGAACTGAACCATATCACTCACCTCAATATTAGGCATATCGTACAATATATAACCATACTTCAAACAAAATTTCCAGCTGTTTGCAATGACATACAATCTACAGTCCAATAAGTAAAGACGTCACACATATACACACCTGTCATAAACAAAAGCTGCAACATTACAAGGAGCCAACGCTTCCTTGTCCTCTAAGAAGGCAGAAACTGAAGCTTCATTAATCTCCCTCATTATTAAAGTTTTGTTCGCACCCTGCCGAAAATCCCATCAAAGAGCACACCGTAATTAGAGGTGATATCTACATTCTTGTAGGTACAAAAACAGAAAGTGTGTTTGACAGACACCACCGCGACAGAAGCGTAATGACCAACTTAGATGCGAAGACTAGTATATCATTCGGTAGCAGAACTTACCCCAGATAGTCCAATCTTGTTGATAGCATAGCGATCACCTTTGCTCGGGTCATATGATTCCTTAAAAGGCCTGACGAATTGTAAAAAACACAAGAAAACGCAGAACGAGGTTCATTACAGTATTTAGATAACCCTCGCAAGGAACATGATAACCTCATAGACAAAGATGATCACTTTTCTTTCATTGGCAAAGCTTTAGAGATTTACTGCCACATTGAATCTAAAATGACCGCAAAGAACCAACTCGGAAAGACACATACCTGCCAATCAGTGCATCCAAAATAGCCGACTTTCCTGATTTCCTGGGGCCAAAGATAAAACATTGGATGACTCCTCGCTGTGACCGTTGCCTTTTCTGATCATGTTTCCTGCGTCGAGTAACCTGGAATGCCGTGGATGTGTCCCCAGGATACCCCAAATAGACCAGAGAAGCTGAGCTTTTCTGAGGATCCAGCAAGGTCATGAATTCCCACTGCAAGCATCACATAAAAGCCAATATAAATGGTCTCACTTAAGCAAGATTCTGCCATTTCACCACTAAAGCACACTGCCAGATAACACTACCCTCACAGCAGAATCCTCAAATTCAGAATAATGCCACTGGAAAATAGAGAGTAAAGGGAAGAAAAGAACAGAAAAGAAAAAAGAAAAAAAGAAACTTTCATTAGGATGTCCGACTAAAGTATTACCCAGACGAAAGATTTGGCTCATATAGCACCTAATGTCACACGAAAACAAATATCAAAAGCATCTCAAGAAATGGATACATAACAGCGTCGGAAGAGTTTCAAACTTGTAGAATAAGTAAATTTCAAACCTGTGAAATGAAACCATTCCAAGTAATCCCTCCAACAGAATTGGTTTCCGTGGTGTTCTTGTAAAGAGGACTGTCCCATGGGCTGCCACTTCCACAATTTATATCGTCAACTCTACAATCTTACAAAGTCAATTGTCATCCAACTCGATGTGCACATACGACGGATATTAATACATGACCTAAAACTAGATATTATGTCTTCTAAAAGTAACATGAAATCAATTGAGATTATAACTTACTTCGACGGAGCTGTTGAAAACATATCCTCCAATTCGGCTGGTTGCAAGGTCCCATCCTGGAAGACAAGAATGACATACATTAAGCTCATCTACATGTATTGAGTTTGGGTAAAAACCTAGTACTACGTATAGGGGAGGTCTCGTGCCCCTAACAATATCCCCTTTGCTGCGATTTTTAATTGTGGAAACCACTATCATCAACACTATGAGAATATTTCTCATCATCAAAATCAATATTTCCCACCCCATCTTGGTCAAGTGTCGTAAAAGCTTCCCTCAAAAAGTCAATTGCCTTTTGCGTCAGTTCGACGCTCTGCACAGTTGCAAATCCAAAAGAAATCCATTTAAAGAAGACTAAGTACCAAAAAGCGTGAAAAGGACGTATGTTATAAAACGTTACTATATCAACAAAAATAAACCAAAAAAAACAAAACAAACAAAACAAACAAAAAATCATTGACGATACATGACAACAAAATGTACAGTTTCCAGGTTCAGTTGCAAACCAAATACAATTAACTAAGCAATTACTTACTTTTGAATCAAAAGCTAATCAGAAGCGCGGATAATTAGATTTCACTACTTGATACCAGATGCGTACTCATTTAAACAGTTCAGTTTATGTTTCACAATATATACTGTCTTTCAGATCAATGATCCTTCAGAAGACCTGCTAGCTAAAAGTTTAAGGAACATACTTGATCAGATGCTCGCTTGAATGAAGGACTAGAAAGTACATCGTCTCGCAGCGTGATTTCATCATTATAACCAAACTTTCTGAGCACTGTCCATGTTGTCTCTAGCCGACCCCTTTCGATGAATAAAGCATGGAGAAAGAGAAATCCAATCGAGGTCAATCCATTCTTATTCACGCCTTCTGCCATTTTGTCCGAGACAACTTTCTTTACTCCTACTATTTCAGCTGGCTGTAAAGGCGCATTGAAGCATTTAACCTAGTCAAGGACATTCAGGAAAAAAAGTTGAATGTTACAGAAAAATCTAACGAGTCTACCTCAGACTCAGAACTTTGAAAGGAACATCACATTGCCAAGGTTCTACTGCCCAACACCATTCAACTAGGCATAAGAAAGGGCGAATTTTCAAAGAATAAAACACCAAAATTGAAGAAAAAGAAAAGCAAAGAAAAGAAACAAACTGAAATAATGAGAGGGATACACATAAAAAGCGGTGTCAACGTTTCAGAGGAGCAGTTATACTCTAGAAATAAGACATACAATGAAATCCCTCAGATTAAGATGATTACATAGATATGTTTATATATATATATATATATATATATATATCCATACAAATGTGTGTGTGTGTGTGTGTGTGTACGTGTATCGTCAGGACGACCTTAATTGGGATTATGAAGGTCAAGAGCTGGTGTAGGTCCCATACCCTAATAGAATACAGAAAACGAAGAAAAGAAAAACGAGCTTCCAGTAAGTATCCTGAACCCACCTGAAATTCGTTCAACTCAGCATCACTCAAGGCTCCATCCCGATCGTGATCACACAGGATAAAAATCCTCTTGAGTGCTCGCACACATCGTGGTTTCAGGGATTGAGTTTCTCGGTCGAAAAGTGGCCCTGTTGGATGCAGCACAGCTTTCTGGGCGTAATAAAACACTTCAGCTACCTGTTCACAACCACCAGATTGAGCGACACAACCAACATTTCTGTAAAAACTAAAGACATTACATAATGGGAATCTCAAGTGAGGTGCTCACAAATATTCCACGACTAACCTGTATTTGTTCAGCAGCTGAACACATCATACAAGTTTCAATTTCTTGAAACTCTTGCATCAAAGGCGCCATCGACTCCTCTAAGCTTGGCTTACGTTCATCCCGCAGATCTAGCTTACACCCGACCACTATAACTGGCAAATTGAGCTGCAAGAGCAATGCTATTTACCGATAAGAACCAATTATAGCTATGAAAGAGAATGAAATCAAACAACTCCATGGAGGACATGTAAATCGCCACAAGAAATGTTGATGCAGATTAGTCTTAAGGCTGAACGAGATCATATAGCCTAAGTCTCGCTTACGACTCGTACTGGGGGCAGGACACTCAAGAGCAACTGAACTTAAAATGATTGCACCGAATAATGATAATAATAATTAATAATAATAAAATAAAATAAACAGTTGGCAAAAAAAATTAAATGAAAAGCTATCAAAATGCTGAGAAAGACTTGCTTCTAGGCGTCGAAGTTCTGGCAGCCAATACTTGGATAAACGTGCAAGTGTTACTGGTTGATCGCAAGCATAAGTTAGAACTACGACGTCTGCTTTTTTGAGCTCCATGTCCAGCTTTGACTTGTCTTCCGGTCTACCCAAAAAGTTACACAACGTAGAGCTTCAGATACAAGGAGTATACATACAGGCTAAAGCTAAACGAATCTCATTCTTGCGTTTCCTTGCTCACAACTATCACTCACACAACCTCTTCTACATGATAACATCATATCAGGGCTACCAGAGTAGCTAGCATCAAATCCAAACCGCCGTAATCATAACAAACTGCACCCATTCAACCTATTGTGAGACGACGGAGAGTCAAATTAAGTATGAGATTCTGACCTTGCAGAGGTATCAAAAATACTCAACGGTACACCGTCTGGATAGAAATCGGTCGGCAGACGTGTAGGTGGCAATACATGCGGGACACCTTCCGCAAACGAATCCGTCGCAATAGTCAAAATCATGCTGGATTTTCCGACTCCAGCATCCCCAATCACTACAACCTGAATGCTTGTCCAAGGTTCCTTCTTCCTGTCCCCCGTCATTGCTAGTAGACTTCTCTTGGCAAAGATTCTGAAAAAACTACTTGTATACCCGAATCTCTACTATCACTAAAAATACTGCGCTCACGAACCTTACTGCAGAAACAAGCTGCAAAGAAAGTAATAAAACCCTATGGCACGACGATCAGACGTAAATTCAGCTTCCTGAGAAGCTCACGGCCCACAACCTGATAGTTGATCAAGTTGCAACGACTGGTTGCCAATGTTTTCAAAACAGTACAAAGTTTAGTTCGTCATCATCTCCACAAGCGTTCTTCACCTACGAGCCTCTGCACCACCAATCCAAATTTCATCAAGAAATATTTTTGAAAAATATGGAAGGGAAATGAAGTAATGACTTCCCGCTAGATAATGTGGAAGTCATTAAGAAAGGTTCAGGTAGAAACTTGTTCTGCTGAAAATTATTGTTGAAGAAAAAATCACCCTTATTATAGAAAGAATCTCAGGCATATAAATAACACGAAAAAATCTCAGAAATCTAATGTGTTGGGAAATATGGAAAAATGTTATAGTTCAGTTTCACAGAGCTAGCGCCTGGATTGACATCAGTAAAATTTAAATCTATACCTGAAAGTCTTCTACCAGCAAATTCCAAAGTCCTGCACAAATTGCACTGAAATCTGACAACAACATCCGTAACTACAGTAAACAATCTCCTGCAGCGGGCCAAAAGAGTGCATTGGAACATAAGTCCACTCGTTGCCCTATTCTAAAGTGAGCACATATTCAGCTCTTTCACGACCGAAGAAATGCTTAATGCTACCGCGTGTAGTTGTTCCCAACTAACTCTCTCCTCTTCGAACTCCTATTATCAAATCACACCAGAACTGCAAAATAGCTCGCTCAACGTTCATGAGAAACTCGCCCTATGCTCAGAAATCCATGCCAATCCAACTTAATATCGGGCGTCCGAGGAAGAATTGAAGTACTAGACTCTCACCACTCCGAGATTACGATGGCGCTTAACTCCACACAGCTAGATGAAAATAAAAATAAAAAATCAACACGACCCCGTCTTTCGGGTAGAACCACGGGCAAAACCTTTCGTGCAGGAAAAGTCGTCGCAACTGCCAGAATCTAAGCCACAACCACCACCACAGCCAACACTCCCAGTTCCTGCCTCCAACAAGCACCTCTCTGATCAGTTACTTAAGAGTAACTCTTAAGCGGCCTCGAAGAACGTGAACGACTAGTGCACCGGGATACCGCCCGCACAAATATCAAAGAGCGGCACGATAGCGGAGAAAGAGAGAGAGAGAGAGAGAGACAGCTGAAACTGCGGCAGTAATTCGAGGAGCGGGAGGAATTCCGCAAAACGGTGCAAATTGAATGCGAAACCCTAATTCCCTTCTGTCGGTCGCTCGTGCATTCGCCAGGAGTCGGAGAGCATTTGGATTCCTAGACCCGACCAAATGCCGAGTGGACACTCCTCTCGGAAAAACTGTCCAGCTGGCATTTCCCTGCAATTGTTCGCAATCCAGTTGGCGACCCTAAAACTATCTCAGATCTGACAACTGCATACCCCACCAATTGAAGCTGTCCCTACTATAAGTTGTATTGATATTTTATAAATACAAATTATTGTTGTCTTTTATAATAAAAATTTGCCAACATCTCTTTTGGTTAACAATCAATTACAACATGCTATGTGTAATACAAATTTTCTCTTATAATTATTGTCTTTGCTACATTGTGGATATTGATGTAAAAATAAAATTCACTAAACTACATGGTCAAATTTCAACAAACTCCAAAGTCATAAGCCATGAATTTAATATATGATGTCTATTTCAAAAGATGTGCACAACTAAAATTTCAGTTGGGAAATTTTAGAGTGTACATGTACACAAAACCTAATCTAATCATGGTATACAACACTATTTAAATTAAATAAGATGTATTATCTTTTAAGTGAAATTAGAAGATTGTAATGCAACATCATGAATATTTTAGTCACAAAATAATTTTATAAAAATACATCGCTAGTCAAGGTTACTATTATCATTTGCAATGAAAAGAAACAAGAATGAAGGATGGGCACTTGGATTGGAGATATAGAATCAAGGGCTAGGAATAGGATACAAGGAAAACATGGACAAAGGAGACAAAGGAGACGGAGACAAGAGGAAGGGGAGAAGGGGTCTAATGATGGTTTTGATAGGTTGATTGATTTGGTAAATGTTGACGTCAAATTAATATATATATATATATAATGACATCAATTTAATATATATATATATATATATATATATCTGTTTTAGTGTGTTTCATTAGAAAAACATATTCAAAACTATATTTGTGAAATTAAGTTGGTGGTCAAATAAATAATTAAAGCTATAGAAGCAACAATGCTTCTAACTAGGATTTGGTTTATTACACCAAATATGTTTTGATGCGGACACAACTTATGTGGTGTCTTACAATCTCAATAGATCTTGTATAATAGTACTTAATAATGTCAATCAATATAATATTTTTTATTTTTAAAATTACAAATAGTTTGTTGTTGATATGTCAAGAATGGCTTTATATACAAAAATAACTTTAAAAAAAGAAGAAGAAAAAAAAAAAATGCAAATAGTATTAGCTTAAAAAAAACTTAGGAAGTGTTAGGCCCCATAGAAGAATGTTTTATTCTTCCAATGGATATTACACAGTAGAATGCCATAATTGACACATTTGATCTCTTTTATCCTAGTAATTGATCTTATCCAATATAGAGTTGTATTGTAACATAACAATTTGATGAAAGATAAATAAAAAGATTATATCAAAGTAGAACTTATTTTAAAATATAGTAGCAATTTATTTTTTAAAAAAAATAAAACTTAAGAAGGTAATAAAATAATTTAGTACCAATACTATATTTTAGTCATAATGGGTTCTACTTGCTTTGTAGGATTATAAACAATACAATACAAAGTAGGTTATCAAGATTTATATTATAGGCATCTTTAGATGAAAATAATCAGTAGCTTTCAGCAAAAATAACCTTAAAAATCTTTAGATTAATACCAAGAGAGGGCCAATTATAAGTCAAGATTAAAACCACACCGTGAGGCACAAAAATGAGTATCTATAGCAAATGTAATGTTTTCTATTGGTCAAAAAGTAGGATTTGAGAAAAAAACTTGATAGTATTTTTTTAAGCATTGGTTTTATGAGATTTAAATTTATAATTATTTTGTAAAAAATTTGCAAAGTTAGGGTAGTTTTGAAAAACTTTTTTCTTTATAGAATAAAAAATGAGCTACATTTTAGATAAATTTGTGAATTTTATAGCAAATCTAGCAATGAAATTATATAGATTTGTGAATGTAGTTGTAGTAAATAGGTTTTGTGAAATTGAGCTTAATAAGATAGATAAATCAAAATTAATTGAGATTCAACTAAGTTGAGGTTGCAAATTTTGGATTTTAAAGATGAGTGAGAGTTTCTAAAATTTTAAAGAATCAACTATTTGAATAGAAATAGTTTTTTTTGTATATTAATAATTGATTTAGTTTTTAAAAATCTTGTAAATTTTGAGATTTTTTTTTCAATTCAAGAAAAAATATCAATGTAGGAAGGTTTATATTATGTTAATGATGATTTAATTAGAATTTGTTTAAAAGTCTATTAAAATTTTATTGAGATTACAATAGGATTTCTTTTATAATTTCTTCATGATTTCTTAAAAAAATTTAGAATTTAATTAGGATCATTTTTAAAGATTATGTAAGGTTTATTTAAAATTGAATAAAGTGAAATAAGAATTTTTAGATTACTCAAGTTTGTAAAAATGAGAGTTTTAAAACATCTTATATATTAAATTTTTAGTAAATATATTAAGTAAATCCAATTTCAAGCTAAAGATCAAGCCCTTCTAAACCCAAATTCCAATACATTTCTATACTTATTTTCACATAATTCAAAAAAATATATTTTTAGTAAAATACTATCTTTTGATTTTTTTAGCCATTACACCATTATAACATGCTTTATGGATAGAAAATTTTAAAAATAGATTTAAAATTTAGTAAAAAAATCTTTGAAAAAACAAAGAACAATGAATTTGCTTACAAAAGAAATATTAGTGTAGATTATATTTATTTAAAAAATAAATTAAAAAACATATGTTTGTCAATTTTTATTTTAATATCTAATATTTAAGATTGAAAATTATTTATTCCAATCTTAAAATCCAATGTTTGACTCAAGATTACTTTAGTATCTAAAAAATATTTTTTAATCAACTTATTAGAAATTTCAATGTGGATAGTATTCAAGAAGATTCTAAATAAATTTCTTGTAATAACTATATAAATTATTGATGAACTTGGAAAGATTTTAAGCAAAAACCTAAATAACATTAAGTCATTTAAACTTATGTATTACATTTAATTGGATTTTATAACTGGATGAAAACAAGAAATTTAAGTACACAATATAATAAAAAATAACAATAAAATCTATTTATATTGACTATTTATTCTTACACATTAGATGTAGCTCTTGTTTAAAAAAATATTATTATGTATGTGATTATTGAGGCTCTTTCAAATCTAAATCTTTGCAAAAAATAAACACATCTATTACAAGACAAAAGCAATAACCATGGTATGTCATTTAGCCTACTCTATCATATAATTTTTTACTTATGAAATTAATTTCAAATATGAATCTTCTAAATTATTAAAAATCAAATTTATTTTATTAATAATTATCATTTAGCCTACTCTATCATAATAATTTTTGCTAATAATAATATCACTTATGAAATTAATTTAGAAGATTCATATTTGCTTATTAAAAAAATCCACTTGATATATTATTAAAAAAGATATTATATTGCATATTGTGGTAGATGCTAGTAAATAATTTATTCTCGCTATATCATCATCCAACACATATTGAATTTTATCTAATAGACATTAAATAACTATCAATCTAAGAATAAATAAATCATAAGTAAAATATGTGATAAAAATCACAAAACTATTAAAGACTAAAATCCTGAAAGTTACAAAGTAAAACCAACCAAAATTAGTACTTGCACATTTTATAGAATAGGTTGGTTATACAAGTCTATAATTGCCTCCAAAACTTGTAGAAGTCAATTGTCTACAAGAGATGATATGTAATTATTTGGATCATCACAAAAAAATAGATTACGTAAAGAAAATAAACTAAACACAACCTAAGAGACTAGATATAAAAAAATATAATAAAAACTATAAAAAAATCCATGGTATGTTATTGGATACTTCTTCATGCTTGTTTGTCTTATTAAAAAAATATTCAATATAATGTTATGTTAAAATATCACTATTGGATGAAATCATGTATATAATATTATAAGAAAAAAATTAAAAATTAATAGAAAATTATCTTATAAATATAGATAATAGTTAAAGAGGTACTAAAATATTAAATACCAATCATTTTTTTTTTTTTTTGTAAAAAGAGTTTCTATTTATTTTTTATAACCATAAATAATGTAAGTAAGATAGAATAAAAATAATAATATCATAAGCATCTTTAGATAGAAGTAAAAAATAGAAATCAAGAAAAATTATTAAAATAAATCTTAGATTGATAATAATAGATGGTTGGTTATGAACTAAAATCAAAACTATATTTTAAGGCCCAAAATTATGTGGCTATAATAAACGAGGTTTTTTTTTTGTTGATTACATGGTGGATATTTAGAATAGACTTTGAAAAAGTTTTTATTAACATTAGTTTGTAGAGATTTAAGTATATGTTGACTTTGTGAGAGCTTTGCTATATTTGGATTGTTTTGAACGATTTTATTTTGTATTGAATAAAAAAATATTATATTTTGGTAGATTATGTGAAATTTATATCAGATCTATGGATAAAATTTTTTAGGCTTATGAATGTATTTATGCTAAATATAATTTATAAATACGATTTGAGCTCAATTGAATAGTTAGATAAAAAATAATTAAGGCTTAAGTTAATTAAGATCTCAAAATTTGGATATTAAAGATTAAAAAGAATTTCTTAGATTTTAAGCATAATTTTAGTTGGATTAAAAAAATTCTATTGTGTATCAATAGTTGATTGAATTATTTATATTTTATAAAATTTTAAAATAAAATTAAAGATATAAAAGAGAGATATTTATGCTAGAAGATTTAGATTGAAGTTAGAGAATAAAGATATCCAAAGCTTGAGTGAATTTTGCACTATTTTTTTAATTTATAAGTTAGATTATTTTTAAAAAAAATATAATTTTTTAAATTAATAAGTTAAAATATATGAAAAAATTAAGATCAATGATTATTATATCACTTATTGAGGATTAAATTTTTATAAGTTTTTTACATGACTAAAATATATTAATATTTCTTTTTAATTTTTAAAGATTTTTTTTCAAGATA